AAGACAGATTGAAGGGAGCCAGAGCAGGTGTGAGAAGACCAGCTAGGAGATCATGGCAGTAGTCCAAGTAACAGATGATCAAAGCCAGGATCAGGATGGTAGTGGTGAAGATGGAGAGAACCGGACAAAATTGAGAGATATTAGGAGATAAAATTGAGAGACTTGGCGATAATTTGAATGGGGGGGGGGTAAGATAGAGAGGGAATGCTAGTGTTATGGTTTTATTATAGTTCTCACCCTCTACGACCACCTATACACCTTATTTTTTTAAGGGGCAAAAAGCCAGGAAAAGCATCTCAAGGAGGGCACTGTGAGATACTAGAAGCTGCAGAGCATGGCAGTAACTATTATGCTAAAATCCATGTTTGTCTACCTGGCCCACCAACCTCCTTCTTTTAGACAATAAAATAATTCGATTGAATCTTATAGTATGTTGTTTCTTAAACAGTAAAACAGTCAGTTTCTGGATTTAATCTGCCTCCTTAGTCTCAGAGTTCACACCCTGGGCATGATAGCGCAAACCCCATTGGTCTGCCAGGCCCTCCCGCTTCTGCCCTATGACTGTCCAAGTTGACTGAGCATCTGCCTACTCTCCAGCATTCTCATGTTCTCCACAGAACTTTGAGAAAATAGGTTTGTGTGACCTTGGCTCTTTCCTTTCTCTAAAAGGAGCCAGAGAAACAAGGCTTCAGAAGTTGAAATGAAAGTTAAGAGGATGACACATTTCTAACTTGGCGGGTCAACCTGGGTATTTGGTGCAAGCTCTGTGAATATTCATTATATGACAACTGTTTAGGCTGCTCTGTGTGTATACCTGGGCAGAGCTGAACTCGAGACTGGGGAAGAAAGATAAGCCATAACTTTAAGATAGAGGATGTCGGCCCTAGGGCCACTGGTCATGCAACCACTCATCGCAAGTCAAATTAAGGGAATAATGCAAGCCTAGTAGATATTTAATGAGAGATTATTTCTGGAGATTATAAGGATACAGAAATTGCAAATAAATCCCTGACCTTTTCTGAGCCTTGGCTCAGTGAAAGAGCTGAATCACCTGCTTGAGGGGATTAAGGACAGCCGCTTCCATCTGGCGGGCCACTCAGACTTTTTCTGTCATTAGCAACTGCTCAGTGGTGATGGTGTTTTAAACCTTTTAGTGGGAACTTGATTTTCAGAGTAGGAGATCTCAATTAACTTAGATTATGTACCTGCTGGGCAGAGAGCAGGACTAATGATCTGCTCGTGTATGCACTATAGTCCATATCACATTAGTGGTACTTGGTGCCTGTTAAATAATAAAGCAGTTGTTAATCATTAGTAACCCGTAGTATGGGGGCAGATAAGGCAGACATGCTCGTGGTGTGTGTGTGTGTGTGTGTGTGTGTGTGTGTGTGTGTGTGTTTGTAAGTGTAACAAACAGAGATGGAGAGAGAGAGACAAAGAGATACAAGGAAGGATGGGGGCAGTGGACAGTGATATAACTTATACCAGTTCCAGCTTAGAGATTTAGAGGAATGATAATTAAATTATATTTCATGAGTTTCTTGTTAGGCATTGTAGTTTAATATGTATTCCATTCCTTAAAACAGTTTTATCTCTTTGTAAAACTAATAATTATCATCACTGTGCAACTTGGACACATTAGAGGCTAATAGTTAACTTGACCTCTTAATGTTTGATTTTGAAATATGTGTTATACATATTTAAACTTAGACAACTAATGTATACTAATAAATACTGTGTTACATGTGTAAGACCTTTATGTATAAAATCTATGTAAGATTTATTTAAAGAAAAAGGGTTTGCTGGTTTAAAACAAATTAGAGAACTTATAATGTTGGAGAAATCAAAGGAGGAACGTTTACTCAGAGTGTTTTTTCCTTGAAAGTGTTGTTTGCCATTTTTCAAAAGAAGTGATTATAGTTAATGTAGGTTAGTAGAATTTAAGTTTTTCTGGATATATTTAGAAGTTCTATTATATTCTTTTCCATTACCCATTACTTACCTAGAAAGGGATCTGGCTTTTCACAGTTCCATAGGAAAAGTTTCAAGAACTGATTTGCCTCTGCAGAGTTATGTCTAGCTCTGTCCTTCATTCTGCTAGTTGTGCTTACGGCTTTATAAACACATATCTTCCTGCATCTGGGACTATCACTGTTAGTTGCCAGGTTATTTCCAATTTTCCAAACTTTAAATTTCTAAAACTTCTCAAACTTCATGGGGGTAATGAAGCAAAAGAGTCTTTGTTCAGGACAGAAGAAAGCCATGCTTACAAACTTCCTCTTAAAACATTCAAGTTCAGAATCAGCTTCAACTGCTTTCAAGAGCACTGTGCAAAATGGCAGTTCTTTCTCTCCCAGACTTCTTTGACTATCAGCCTATGCAAAGATTCTCTTAAGCACTTCTCAAAAGAAGAACTACAAGGCTTCAAATGACTGTGAACTGTGGTTATGACCATTTTTAGGAATCTCCTTAATTATAATAAGTAATTTCCCTTCTGACAAATACATTCCAGTAGGCTTTATTCTAACTACTGTATAAAGGAAAGAAAACCCTCCTGGCACACAAAAAGATGCTCAAGATTCTTAATCATCAGGGAAATGCAAATCAAAACCGCAGTGAGATACCACATTACACCCACTAGAATGGCTATAATAAAAAAGACAATAACAAATGTTGGCAAGGATGTGGAGAAATTGGAACCCTCCTCTGTAGCTGGTGAGAATGTGAAATGGGCACTACTTTACAATGCAGTTTGGCAGGTCCTTGAAGAGTTAAGCATGGAGTTACCATATAACCCAGCAATTCCATTCTTAGACATATACTGAAGAGAAATAAAAATATATTTCTAAAGACTTGTACACAGATATTCCTAGCAACATTTATTTTTAATAGCCAAAAGTGGAAGTAACAACTGACGAATGGATAAGTGAAATGTGGCATATCTAGACAATGGAATATTATTTAGTCATAGAAAAGAATGAAGTATTGGCATCACAACAGAAATGAATCTTGAAAACATATTAAAAGAAATAAGCTAGATGCGAAAGACTGTATATAGTATGATTCCAGTTATATAGAATGTCGAGAATAGGCAAACCCATAGAGCAGAAAGTAGATTAGTAGTTTCTAAGGCCTGGAATACGGAATACGGGGAGAAATAGGGGATGACTACTAATGTGTATGAGGTTTTTTGTGGGGGTAATGAAAATGTTATAGAGTTAGATAGTGGTGATCGATTCATAACTTTGTTAATAAACTAATTAATGGCTTATAAGCTTTAAATGGGTGAACTCTATGATGTATGAGTTATATCTCAATAAAGCTGTTATTTTAAAAAATGTTCCCTTAGATTCCAAAAAAATTTTTTCCCTTAGATTTCAATAGGAATTTGACCCGTATATTATAATTTGTTATTAAGTTTGAGAAATGTCTATGGCATGAGTTAATTGAGTTTCATTTGGAAAAATAATTTTAATCTGGCTTATACTTTCACTCAGAAAGCTCGATACAACAAAATTTGCAAAGTAAATACTTGGTTCATAGTAGAAAAAACAAAGGATTGAGTTATTGGGTTCCTTACAGCTTTTAAGGAATAAGAACAATGATTTGTATAGCAATTGGTCTCCAGGGAGAAAAAGATGGTTTTCTTCCTTTTCCGGTACTTTACTTACTATCCCAGAGGCCAAATGTGTTTATAATAATTACCACTAAGCACTAAATGTGCATATGAGAACAAGAGCTGTTTCCTTTTTAGAAGAGAAGTTTTGGGAAATTATTCCTTTTTAGTTTGATTTGGGGAATTGTCAGTGATTTTTTTTTCCCCCAAAGGATTTTTATCTTCATTGGATCTAAATTTACCCATATACAATAAGTATTGGAGAAAGATTCCATTTGGATTAGATCCAAGATGAGTTCAAGTTCTGCTCAGTTTATTTCTTTCCCTGGGATGATGACAAATCACTTATAAATACTCACCTTCCTACTTTCTACCATTCTCTTCTCCATTCTGAACGTTAGTTTGCAGAATATTTCCTCCTGGTGTCTAAAGGAGATCAAGGATGAACCCATTCCTAAAGGTTGCCACACAAATCTTTATCTTTGGATAAAGAGAGTGTGGGGATGAATTTTGGTGGGTTTCCAGCATTGTCGCTAGAGTGGAAATTGGTTCAGTGCTGTGGAAAAGATTGCTGCTGTTGATAATTTATTGTCCCAGTGACATTAATGGGTTTTGGAGCAGATGAAAAACTCAGTCACCATCTACTGATTACCACATAGAAGATGACTCTACTGCCTTAGTTCTTCTTCTTCTTCTTGTAGCGTCTCTGTTCCTGGCTACTTTAATTTTCCTCAAGGTCACTTTTCCTTTTTTCTAGTCACCTAAGCAGGATTTTACTTCTTTCTTTAACTCGGGTTACATTTAAAGCAGTTAGGTGGTGTAGATTCTGGTGTCAGCCTCCCACATATTATTCCTGCAACTTTGGTTAAGATAGCTAACTGGCTTTGTGAAATCTCAGTTTATTCATCCATAATACAGGGCTAATGATAGTATCAGCCTAGAAGACTTGCTAGGATAAAACAAGATAATCTATGTCAACCACTTACCCAACATTTATTGAGCACTTGATTTATGTTTTTTGAAGGCAACCAGTAAGCAATTAGTCCAACTCCTGATAATAACAAAACGATGTAAAGGATGCCTAGTTACTCTGGTAGGTGCTCATCACTTTATGCTGCCGTTTCTTTAGCTATAAATTGAGGATAACCTTTCAGAATTACTGTAAGAATTAAATGAGATAATATACACAAAGCACTTAGAGCTATTCCTGGCATATGGTAAGTTTTCAGTGAATACCAGCTAATTTTGTTTTGTCATTCCTATACCTTTAGTGGGAAAATTTAAAGGATACACCATGGAACTGAATCATACTGGGTTGGTCAAGCCTCGTCCCAAGTTGATTTGTGTGGCCAGTAACTTGACTCTCCTTCTCTTCCTCTTGCAGCTGCACAGTTGGACAGCGTTGGCTTCAGCATAATCAGGAAATGCATCCACGCTGTGGAAACCAGAGGTAAAGTAGTTCAACAGATGGCATCATTCTTAGTGAAGGTCACACATCTGGGAAGGAGGCAGACCTGCTACCTGCTGTTTTCCGATTTTAAGTGACTCATTAACTCTCCAAATGCCATTGCTGGTGTGTTTCCACGAGTCATTTTGCTCCGAAGTTGGAGCTCTCAACCCATTTGGTGTCATCAGCCTCTTTCAATGATCTGAAGAAAGTTTTATTTAAATGCATACACATCAAATATATAGGATTATAAGGAAATCAGTTACTGAAGTTCAGTTATTAAAATATTAAGAAACATAGTTGTAATATAATAATATGTGTTTCTTTGTTAACACTTCAAATAACAAGTTATAGTGGTGGACTGATAACTAGCATAGTTTGGAAATAGTGATATTCTAAAGTGTCTGTAACAGTTTTAATACCTTATGAAAATATCTGTGACTTCTGACCAAGTTGCAGGTACTGCTAATACTACTATGATTTGTGGCTTATATCATCATGGAAGGAAATGATTAATTTTCAATTATAGGTTAGAAAAAATAAAGGTATAATTGTTTTCCTGTCTAAGTTCATAGACACCCTGAATTCTCTGGTGGACCTCTTAGGGTCTGTTGCCCCAGGGTAAGGACCCTGCTCTGGGAGGTTGTCTCTGGGGCCTATCCTGATAGGAAGAACCGGCCAAGCTCCTAGTTCCTGCAGTGGCACTGAAGTCAGGCTCTGCCTGTCACACATTGACCTTTCTCCTGGGTTCATAGGAACAGGACTTTGAGGAAAGGGAAGTTGGTTCATCTCAATGGTCTTTGCCTCCTCCTCCAGGTTTGCCACAAAGGCAATTTCTCAGCTCTGACAATTTGAAACTTTGAGTGCACTGGTCTGTTATACCCCTGAGAAACACCGATAACTGTCTGTCCACTGGATTTGATTTGAACCATTGTCAAAAATGTGAATCTTATTTATTATATAGCCTCTCAACCCACCAGGCCTTTTGATTTGTTTGGAAGAAGTTCTGTCTTTTAAAGCAAGATCCATAACTCTTACTAGTTGAGAAATATAAGCATCTTTATAAAGTCTAAAAAGCATCAAGTAGAGAAGGAAAAAAACCTAACCTTATAAGCCTCTATTCCTATGTTTTCAGTCAAAAAATATTCTTTCCAAGGTAGTTATTTAATGTGTGCTAACCCTTTGTAAATGTCTGCTTATTCTGCTGTACCTTCCTTCACTAAGGAGTTAAGACAGCTTACAAAGATATGTAAAATATAATCAGAACATAAAGTCGAAGTAAACGAAGTTTCTGAAATTGATCTTGAGGAAATAAGGGCATGGACCAGGTTGAGTCATAAGGTTGTTTACCTGAAGGTGGTGTTAAAGTGAAAAAATTAGAAATTGGCCAAACGTCTCAGAAATTAGTTAAATCAGCAGTGCTACATTCATGCAGTAAAAACTCAGAATCACTAAAAATGTAATGGAAATACATTTATTGACATGAAAGATTTTTATTATATATAGTAAGTGAAAAATGGAAGTAACCCATCCTGGGGGTGGCAGAGAGAGGGGAGACGTGTACCTGCACAGGTATCATTGTATTGTCAGTAGGTCTCCCTGCTGTTTTTATTGTCTTCCTTTGATTTATCTATTTTCCATAACTGCCGTTTCTAAAATTTTTAAAGTAGGCATAACAAAGGTAATTTTTCAACAGGCGTTATGAAATGCTTTTCATTTTAAAAGAAAAGAATGAGAGATATAACATATACAGGGTTAACAAGAGTAGAGGTGTAAAAATGGAGCCATAAGTGAGTTCAAAACAAAACTCCCCTCCCCTCCACTGTGAAGTTCACATACTTGGCTGAAGGGGCCACCTGATTGTTGTTCAGTTTTCAGCAGCCAGAACTAGGAGAGAAACATAATCATTTAAAACCCTTCTTAGAGTCTGTATGGTAAATGCAAACCAATAGCTCTGGACACAACTTTTTCTGGTGTAAAGGCGGAAATATACATGATAAGTAGTGGTGAAGAACAGAGTCTCCAGCTGGTTTGGTCTCTTAACTTCTGCCTCCAAAAATGCTGTTTTAACTTCTAGGAAAGTTTTCATTTAGCACAAAGAGGAAATAAGGGCAGTGTGAGTTAAATGCCATTTTAACATAAATACATGAAGGAAGTGGCTATTTCTCTACTGCAGTGCATGTATGTACATACATATTTGTGGTGACCAGAGGTGAACAGACCTCCCATACTTTATGGGGTTCGTTAATCATTGTCAAATGGGAGCTGGGATTGTGTCAAGTTCCAGGAAAGCACAAGGACAAAAGAATGAGATATACTTCAGAAAGGACAAGCTCTAGAAACCACCATGTTGCTGAATAATGGTTCTGCTACTGAGTAACTTGGGGCCTATCGCTTAGTTTTTGACCAGGGTCTCCTAGCTCATGAACCATACAAGATGATGTACATGCTTTTACAGATCTGTTTTAGCTATAAAACTCCATCATTCCAAACCACTTCCTTTTTATTCATTAGTTCCATTTTTATATAGTGTAGAAGACACTGCAGAATCAGCCTTTTCCCAAATTTCTTCCAGGAAATTTTATTTTGACCCTAAAGTAGTAACTCTGATGGAGGTAACTCCTGTTTTATTTATTCTATCATGTATCATATGCTGATCTTGGTGCTGGGGATATAATGGTGAGGAAGATAGAATCACTGTACTTAGAGTTTACATTGTACTTGTAGAGAGAAAGACAGGAAACCGAATAAGAAAATTTTAGGTATTATTAACTGCTGTAAAGAAAACAAACTAGCCAATAGTGTTGGTCATGGGATGCATTATACTGAAGAGACTGCATTTAAGGTGAGACCTGAACATGAAAAGATCTGGGAGAGGTATGTTCCAGGTGGAAGAAATCTTGTGCAGAGGCTGGGATTGGGGGGCCTGAGCGTGATATGGAGGAGACACAGGAAGGCCAGTGTGGCAGCGCAGAGTGAGGGCAGTTGATGATATGGTCAGAGGTAGGCTGGTGCTCAACTGTGTAGGGCTTTGTCGGCACAGTAAATTTTGATTGTGATCTAAATGCAATAGGAAACTCCACTGGAAGGTATTAAGAAAAGAGATGGTTTGAACAGATTTACTCTTTGAAAAGTTCACTTTGGCTATCGGTTAGAGAATGGGCATCCGGAGAATAAGATAGGAAGCAGGAGATCAGTTAGTTGAGAGGTATCGGATACGATGAGCCTAGGACTAACAGGAGAAAAGTCATTTCTTGTCATTTGGTGTAAATATCCCTTTTTGTAAATCATACAGTGGTGATCTAATTCTTGCACTTAAATGAACAAAGTACTGAGGTCATTAGTTTTTGGTTCTTTGTTTGGGTATTTGAAGGTAAACCCCTTCTGGTCCAGTTGTACATTTCCTTGGGTTGAATGAAGGTGGTCCTTCTTTTTCTTTGTAATGAATATTTACCTTACAAATAAATAGATTTTCTGATTTCTCAGTCTTGGCTAACATTCTCCAAAATTAAAAATGTCCTTACACTCATTATTTTTATTCTATATGTAGAAATAGATTGTGAGGTATTTTTCGTTTTCTGTAGTATGAATTTTTTGTCATGTCATTTTTGGCTTTTTAAATTAACAAACTGGTTAAATATGACCTATTTAAAAGTATATATTTTGCATCTTTCAAAACTCTTCAGATGCTGCCTTTGACAAGAGAAGAGCAAGATTTCTTTCCCCTCTAATGACTGAACTAACACGAGGGCTGCAGTGTGCAGCACATCCGTGAAATCCTAGACAGCTGTACCAAATCCCACTGCTTCGCTAAGACCAGAGCTGAGTGACAGGGGACTTTAATTAGAGCAGCTTTTAGAAGGACCAAGAAAATGAAAATAGTGCCTTTGGCTAGGATGGCTTGACTTGTGTTTTGACATGCCTCTAATTAAATCATCACTGTTTCTCTTCTCAGGGATCAATGAGCAAGGGCTCTACCGAATCGTGGGGGTCAATTCCAGAGTGCAGAAGTTGCTGAGTGTCCTGATGGGTGAGTGCAGCAGAGACTCTGCCAGGCAGGCCCCAGGGGGGTGGGGAGGGCACAAGGTGTCATGTGACTCTCAGACAAAATGTATATAAGCAGATAATTCTTTTGATTCTCTTTGTTTCTGTCACCAAGTCCATAAATATGGACAGCCCCTTGGGAAGTAATCAGGGTATTCCAAGAGGTAACTCCCAGAAATAAGCTGCCTCACTCACCCGTTGTCATGGCTGTGGGAATTACTGGAAGAGGTACGAAGTGAGACTGGACAAAACAAAAAATGGCAGGTCCAAATCACCACACCCTCTGTGTCGGCCATTGCCAGTCCCAGTGATGTTGGTCACTCATGTGACCACCACACCCTACTCTGTCTTTATTAGCTCATGACTCCCTCTGTCTTCTTAGTGAGGCACATCCGATGCCTGCAGAACCTCAGATCTTGTGTTCCCTATTATGGAGAAGGTGTCATGTGACTCTCAGACAAAATGTATATAAGCAGATAATTCTTTTGATTCTCTTTGTTTCTGTCATTTGAGCAGCAGAACATCTTTGCAGTTGGCTGATATAAATATAAAACTACTATCTCTGAATGTGCAACGTTCGACTCAAAAACCCATGAGCCAATAAGCCAAATTTGCCTAGGCTGCAGATTTCCTGTATTTTCAGATATGAATGCAGCCAGTCTCAATGAGTCACATGGATCTAAATGGCAAACAGATCAGATTTCACCAATCAGTGGCTATTATTCATCCCCATGGAAGCCTGGCCACGTACTTGTAGAGAAGGACTATTATTACTCAGGGTCCCTGGTCAGTTTTCTGTGCAGGGACATTTCTCTTGTTAGTATTTGTCATTTATTTTGCTATCCCACTTTCTGATAATAGTTTTCATATGAAAGAAATCTCCTTTCTCATGTTGATGAGAATAACTCTCTACCTCTTTTTGAGAGCACTCCTTGCCTCTTGTAGGCAAAATTCTATTGTATTGCTAGTCATGATGAAATATTTAGTTTGAAACTATGATTATTTATAAGGTACATTTGCACTGAGTATCTGTTCTTTGATTCAGGGTTGATTCAGATTCAGATGTAGTTCTTTGAAAAATTAAACTTTTTATTTTGAGATAATTATAGATGCACATGCAGTTATAAGAAATAATATAGAGAAATCCTGTGTACCTTTACTAGCTTTCCTCCAATAGTAACATCTTGCTAGACTTTAGAAACTGTATCGCAACCAGGTATTGATACAATCAAGATGCAGAACAGTTCCATCACTGCAAGAATCCCCTGTGATGCCGTTTTATGGCTACATCCATCTTCCTCACCCCTCACCGCATCCCCATGCTTAACCCCTGGCAACCACTAATCTGTTCTCCATTTCTGTAACTGTGTAATTTCAAGGTTATTATATAAATGGAATCATACAATTTTTGGATTGGCTTTTTTTTCAGTTAGCATAATTCTCTTGAGATTTATTCAAGTAGTTTTATGTGTCAATAGTTTGTTCTTTTATTGCTGAGTAGTATCTCATTGTACAGATGCACCACAGTTTAGCCATTCACCTGATGAAGGACATCTGGGTTGGTTCCAGTTTGGGGAAATGACAAATAAAGCTGTTATAAACATTTGTGCACAAGTTTTTATCTGAACATTGATTTATTTCTGTGGGATAAATGTCCAAGAGGGCGATTGCTGGGCTGTATGTTGATATGGTTACTTTTTTGAAAATTCTAATGTAGGTAACAGTTAAGAGTCCAACAGGTATCAATCCTCAGTCTTTTATTTCCAGTCGGAGCTGCAAATATTTATGGAGCATATGCTCTCTGAAACAGATTGTTAGGTGCTAGAAATGAAACTTTAGGAAGAGTTATTCCTTGTCTGCAGAGGGTTCAGTAGTGGGGATATATGCATACATACGAAAGCTGTAATGTAAAATATACTAGTATATAATATAAGCTGAATCTAGAAGATTGAGTAGTGAAGGAGAGAATAGAAGAATAATTCTGATTCAGGAAGTATTATGAACAACAGCATGGGGAGAGAAATTGGGATCTGTGGTGGCAATAGCAGAGAGTATTGATATTATTATTATTATTATTATTTATTTTAATATTTGAAAATACTTGAGACTGGGACAGGAGAGTTAAAGCCAAAAAGCTGAGATGGCCCCCTTTTTTTGAGGAACTTGAATGTCATGCTGTGTAGTGGAGTTGTGTGTTAAGACTTTTGCACACAAACGTGTCAAGAAGACAATTTAAAATAGTTTAAAATAAAAATAAAGGCATTTAATTGTTTATGTAACTGCTAAGTTCAAGGTGGCGGAAGAGCCTGGTCGCTCCAGTAACATCTTTGCATTCGTTTGAGGCTTTCCCACTCCTTTCTCTGGTTCCTCATGATCCGTGACCTTTGCTTGCCTTTGCATTGACTGTATTCTTTGTGGGAATGTCCCAGATAGTCCAGCCTCAGTGGTCCTTGGAGCTTGTATCACTGAGAGGAGAGTACCTTTCTTGACATTTTTGGCAGAAAGTCTCAGGGTGGACTTTGATTGTATAGGGCCATCCACATGGTTTACTTCATAATCTCAGACTAGACACATGACCTACAGCAGATGGATCCAGACAGCCTGGATCCTGTGCCTGTCTTTGGTGATCCTGTGCCACCTCTGTGAGTGTGGTGGAGAGGTAGGGTTGGGGGCGGGGGTTAGTCTGTAGAACTCTGTGGACTAAGTAGGATTATTAAAAGAATGATGGAGGAATGTTTTCCTGAAATAATGGCCACTGGGTAATAACAAAAGTATGTCCAACACAGGTGTAACTAAATCAGGTGCTAGTTTGAGGAAGACAACGCTGGCAGCAATGTGGAGCATGTATTTGATCATGGAAATACATGGAGGAAGAAGACAGTTGCAACAGATTAGGCAGATGACCCTATCGAGGGTTGAACCAAATAGCTGCTCTGAGGTCAGGAAAAAAGAACAGGCTCAAAATGATTGGAGAGAGAATCAACAGGACTTTGTAACCAGTTGGATATGGGGGAGTAGAGGGGTCAGAGAGATTTCAAAGATGACAGATTTTTATGTAAGATGACACTAGTGAAAAGAAATATGACATTTTAGAAGGGTTTGCTAATCTAAAAGAAAAGCGCCTTAGCTCAGTTGTGCTAAGCAAAGTGGTATGAAAAGATCTCGTTTTTATTGCTTCTCTTAGTGGCCCTCAAGTAAGATATTTGTCCTGTTTTCTTCAGTTTTCCTAGGGTTAGACAAAATGATGATGAACATCTGAGAAATGTCATGAAAAACTAATAACTAGCAGCCGAAAGTCACGAGGCTAGCTGCCTTTGCCATGGGGACATTACAGATAGACTAGAATCCAAACTGAGATTCAACCAGAGCTGAAAAATGACCACAGTGAAAGATCTAATCAAAAGTAGGGAATGGTATCTGTGATTCTCACTACCAATTAAGTTCAACAGTGTAGATCTTGGAATTGAAGAATCACCCATTAGTCCAGGGACTCCAGACCTGAAGGCAGAGAGCCCTGCCTCACTTCTGTTTTGTGAACATGCTCTCATCTTCATCAGTTCTTGATACTGGTACTAGACTGAGTTAGCCAAGAGTATAAAATTAACATGACTCCTATACCCCTAAACCTCTCCCTGCCATGACTGGGCTGATAGTCAACCATTCATTCACTATTTTTTTTTCCTATACTCATTGGATGCCCTCTTATGTGCCAGACACTGTGGGATTATTTGTCAGAGTCTCTCAAAAGTGGAATAGTGTGTTTTTATTATGGGTTAGAATTAAGTAAAACCAGATACTTTTTTTTTTTTTTACAATTCAATGAGTTTTTTCTGATTATAGTTGGCATACAATAATATATTAGTTTCAGTTGTACAGCAGAGTGATTAGAGATCTATATAACTAACCAGGTGATCAGCCCACTAAATCTAGTATCCCCTCTTCCCCTTATATATTTATTATAACATTGTTAACTATTTTCCATATGCTACACTTTATGTCTCCATGTCTATTTTGTATCTATCCATTTGTATTTCTTAATCCCTTTGCCCTTTTTCACTATTCCCCCAAACCCTTTCTCATCTAGTAGCCCTCCAAATATTCGCTGTATCTATGAGTTTGTTGCCATTTTTGTTATTTATTTTGTTCTTTAGATTCCACATGTACGTGAAATCATGCGATATTTGTCTTTATCTGACTTATTCATTGCAATACCCTCTAGGTCCATCAAGGCAATATCTTTTTCTATCCCTTTCCTTTTAGTCTGTGTGTGTCTTTTAATCTGAAGTGAGTCTCCTGTAGGCAGCATATGTAGGAGTCTTGTTTTCTTACCTATTCAGCCACCCTACCTTTTGGTTGGAGCATTTACTTCTTTTCCATTTGAGGTACTTAATAGAAATGTAGTTATTACCATTCTTTATTCACGTTTTTGATACATATTTTTTTCTTCTTAAAAGAGTCCCTCCAATATTTCCTATAATACTGGCTTGGTGTTGATAAATTCCTTTAGCTTATTTTTGTCTGGGAATCTCTTTATCTGTCCTTCGACTCTAAATGATACCTTTGCTGGATAAAGTTGTAAATCCTGGATTTTCATCACGTTAAATATTTTGTGCCTAGCCCCTTTGTCCTGTGTAGTTTCTTTTGAGAAATCAGCTGCCAATCTAATGGGTGCTCCCTTGTAGGTAACTAACTGCTTTTCTCTTGCTGCTGTTAAGATTCTCTCTTTGTATTTAACCTTTGGCATTTTAATTATGATGTGTCTTGATGTGGGCCTCTTTAGGTTCATCTTTTTGAGACTCTCTGAGCTTCCTGGGGTTCTATGTCTATTTCCTTCACCAGGCGAGGAAAGTTTTCATCATTATTTCTTCAAATAGCTCTTCAACTTCTTGTTCTCCTTCAGGTACCCCTGTGATGCCGATGTTTTTACATTCAATTTTGTCCTTAAAATTATTATTATAGTCTGGGCTTTTTTTTCTTGCCATTTTG